ATTTTTTTATTATATCTTTATTTAGTTTCCCTAATCTAACCTAAAGAGTTTGATAAAGGAGGAAGCCACTTTTTAGAAAATAAAAGTTTTGAGGCGGCTTGACTAGGTAATGAAAAACTTCATTATAAATAACATTTGTAATAAAGATTTTCACTACCCAATTAAGCAGTCTCAAAACTTTTATAAACTAAAGAGTTTCCTACATTTACATTTTAGTTACTTGTATAACAATAAATGTAGAATACACATGAAAAATAAGAAATAAAGTACTTACCTGGGCCTTTTTTTTTTTTTTTTTTGTCTATTGAGTGTCAATGACACTTAACCATACTTTTTTATACTAATGGTAGGTGTCATGATATAAAAGACTGTTAATAACTAATTGATGTTGAGAATATAGAAAGTAGCCAGATGACTATGTAATAAAGATATAAATAGGCATAGGCCTAACGTTTAATATGTTAGAGTGAAACTAACAGCATAAAAAAAAGATAAGGAGGATAATTCTATTCCATCAAAGTGTGGTTCTAAAGTAATTGAATCAGCCTGAGTGCACTTTGACAAAAGTAACATAGGATCTTCAGAAGAAAGAAGACCACAATCATAAGTGAATCACACCAGACTGATATTGCGATAGTATTACAGGAATTAGTTCGGGATGTCAACTGAGATTCTGAAGTAATTAAACAGGTCTAAATGGACTGTTGACAAGAAGAGGAGAACTATACATACACCGATATAATGTTTACGATATGCTTATATTCTCTATAGTGTGAACACTTTATTGTACATATGTTTAACTTGTTCCAAATATAATATATATATATATATATATTATTTGAAAACAAGTAAGGTGTGTGCTGTTTATTCATCGTTGAATTTAACAAGTCACAGACACCTACTGTAGAAGAATACTAAGCCCAACAACTACATAGTATATATTTATACTGTTAAGAAATATAAGTAAAACCCATTTATTTCAACAATTGGAAAAAAAAACAGAACCCTTATACATATATGATATGTATATTTTTTAAGTCTGACAATAGTGGTGTACTAAATAATTTTTATTTAATTAAGTAATACACCAAATAACATAGAATAATAACATGCAAAAAGCAGACAATGTTCCATAACTATCACAATTTTTTTGACTTTCTAACCATGTGACAGAGCCATTCCAAAATCATCCAAGCTAGTCATTGTGTTTTCTGTGGAACTAAGTTTGTACTGAAAGAGAAATTAACATTTTTCCATACATAAAATAACATAATACAATATGTGATTTGATAGATGAAGACATTGGTTTCCTGTTGGTTATAAATATTATAGTATTAAATGTAAGAGAAGATGTGAAGGAGGGTGTGGCAAAAGGGGTCTGATATTTTATTTTATGGCTCTGTAATCAAACAAGATTGAAGGCTATGAAAATTATGCTTTGTCTGAGCACTAACAACATTATAATGAGTAATTTACGTTCAGTTTCGTACGTCTTGGAGGGTTGGTAAATTAATTAGAGAAGAGAAGATGCCTAGAGAAAAAATGTTGCATTTCCCCCACTAGGGGAAATTCAGGATTTTTTTAAAAATTGCCTCATAAAATTGAGAACTTCAAATTTATATACTATTAAAATATGGATTATTAGTTACAGTTTTATGCTATAGTAATTGGTATAACATGGACAAAAATAGATTAATTAAATTTTGACTGTAACTCACTAAAAAAAACCTTGTGACATGCATAGTAATAGATGCCCATGGTGAAAGAGCTAAAGACTTTACAAATTCACAAACAAATCTTTACTAGAAATGACTCATTAAAAAATCTCTTGTGTGTGCACAACAGACATCTGATGTTTACTAAAAGCTTGCCTAAATTTGGTAAAGATACACATAATAAATTCAGAGTTATACTACATACAGTTTCATAGTGCCAAGGTTGATCAAATCAACGAAATATGATCTTATAAGAGTTAATCAGTCAGGTAATGTAATCTAAATATTATCTAATGTTGTTCCACATATGGAACAGTTATATAGATAGTATTAACTATATTAGTAAGAGCCTAAACTAATGGGAGGTACAACTAATAGTGGTCAATGTACTGAAGCAGTTCAATATTACCTTAAACAATTTCCAAAGAAATTAAAGTTTAAATATGAAATATTTGTGATATTCTGTAAAACTTCTGTGTTTGCCCAGCTTCAACTTCTAGCTAACCTAGTGCCCTCATCATCATGGAAATCCAGGTGTCTTTGTTGAGATCCTGGTATTTCACTATTAACCCGATGACTACCAGCTACTAACTTTCTTAGTAGGCAATGCAAGTCTTGCTATATTTCATTCCAACAATAAAACTAGTGGATGAATATATT